AGGAAAACTTTCCAAATGAAATAAGTCGGCTTTTATGCACAGAATACTACTGTGAGCTGTTTGTGTTGTTAATGCGTAAGGCAAGCAACTAAAGCAACTATATTCAAAACAAAAAAAAAAAAAAAAAAAAAACAATCGTAGCGAACCGTACTAGGCCGCATACAGTTCTTGCAAAGATTGCGGTTAAAGAAAATTCCAACTTCTTTTCTTTTTTTTTTTTTTAATACAATACAAATTTAAAGGAAAGATTGGTGGTCGACACGTGTGTACGTATTTGGTTACGTTTTTTTTCTACTGTGTTTGTGTGTGTGTGTGTGTGTGTGTGCATGAGTAAAAAGCAAAAAAGTTCGCATTTAAACGGTCGATTGCACAAGTACATAATAATAATAATAATAATAATCGAAAAATATAATTTATGATAACAGCAAACAGGCTACGGTTAAAAAAAAAAAAAAAAATCAAAAAAAAAATAAAGAAAAAAAAAAAACTCGAAAACACGACTATTTTTCTTTTCTTTATTGTACTTGTGAAAAATCAGGTTTGTCTCTTAAGTCTTTTGTTGTTATTTTTTTATTTCGTTTGAATATTTCTACAATCAGCCGCTTTATGGATTGCATTATATAAAAGAATGTTTATGAAGGTATCTTAACTTCAAAATGTATATATGTGTATTGCTTCAAAATACTTATAGGCAAAGATTCCTTACGATTATGTAGTTTATTCAATTTAATGAACAATAATTTCGTAATATATGTATATGAAAAAATATTGAGCCCTTTGCTGATAATATTTTATTAGTATTAAAAAGAAAAAAAAAAAACTTTAAATCCTTTGCTTACAATGTTCTATAAGCATCAAACATGCTCGTAACGTCACTTACTAGCTAAAATCAGGTACAATGAAATAGTCTATAAAAACATTGAGCTCTACTCATGCAAGAGTCTTCTAGTATCAAAATGTGTCGCTTTATAGAGGCCCGCAGCAAATTGGTTCACTGGTGTCAGGTACAACGAAGTAGTCCAAAAAATATTTGGCCCTATATGTACGAGATTCCTTTAGATGCAAAAATGTCACGATTTTTATAGGAACGCAGCCAATCAACCCTAACGTCTATTGGTTGCTAATAATATTATGTCATCTAAAAAATATTGAGCTTCTTTTCAAAAAATAACACAAACAATTATACAAGACGCAGCTTATTAGATCGAATATCTTGCATGAGAGAGAGAGTTTGGCATTTCAGACTTTACGCAATTTGCTTACATGGCTCCATAAGCAGTAATCAAAAAAATTAATCTAAAAAGTATTGGGCTTTTAACTCTCGATGTAGATTTGCACTTATAGAAGTGAACTATTGATCATTGCATCAACAACATAATAATAATAAAATCAAATCTTTTATGTTTGCCTTTAAACACAGAGGTTGTATCAGATTATATTGTACTGTGGTCGCGTTCTTCGACCGATATGTCGAATTTTCGATACCAACCTACACGCAAAAACTTCCAAAGTTTCTGCCAAATTTGAGGCGAACTTTACCGGCCAGGAGAGTGTTTACAACAGACAAACGGACAGATGGACATACCTAAATCGGTTTAGAATTTGACGCTGATCAAGAATACGTCTACTTTATGGGGTCTCTGGAACTTTCTTCCGGGCATTGCGAACGTTCGATAAAAAGAATAATCTACAAATTACTGAATAGAGTTCTGTCGGAATTTGACATATTAGGACGTGGGAAAAATCACTTATCTGCTCAAATCGGGTAGGGTATTGACTCTTTCTTCCAAAGATGTAGACTAGCAATATAAATGCATGAGTACATCAAGATGCCGATCAACGTGAATATCGTTTTATTTGTTGGCTTTTGAACCTAGAACAACAGCGACATTGTGTCATATCTTTCTTTTGAAGTTATCTTCAGTCATTCTTTCCATTTTGTCAGACCAATTTTTCTACGAGCTGTACTGTCAACAACTAAAACGATTGTAATTTGCAAGAAGAGGTCAAAACTTTCCAATAGAAGCGTGCCATTGTCGGACGGCATATAAATCTTACGACCCGAAAAAAATTGAAAAATCTCGACGAAACATAGTAAAATTCCGAAACGCTTTTCAATACACACTTGTGTGTTACGGTCTCTCCAGAAATCCCTGAATAGTATTAAGTCTATTAAGTTATCGCTTTCCCGCTAATCTTGTGAATCCGTCATCTTTAGACAAATTAACAGTGTAAGAATTTTAAAATTGTTCTTGTTTCCTCTTTTCATATATGCCGTCGGCAAAATTTATTTACATGTTTGTATATGACATAGATTTTATTTTATAATTAACTTTTAACTATTTTTATAATTTGTTTTTTCTCATGATTTTGATTTCAGTTGCGCTGAACTGAATAATTAACACCAACAACGACTTGGCATTTGGATTAATATTGCATGTATGATTTTATTATGTATTGTTTGGCCCTTGTATGAGAATTTTTTTCATTGCACAACACAATAGTGGAAAAATTGCAATGAATTTTGCGTAAGCGTACTAAAGCTATTTTGAAAAAGGAATAAAAAAAAAAAAAAAAAGAAACATTTTTCAAAATTGATTGCAACGAGTTGAAAGTTAGGCCAGCCCAATAGCGAGTCGTATTTAATAGCCATGAATAATCTTCATAACAATAGCAAGTTAACGAATCCTTCAATTAATGGTAACGCCTTGGATGCTTTACCGAAATCGTTTGTGGTCTCTATGAAAACTCTTTTCGATATATTAGATGATCAACTAACTGGCTATGTTAAATTCAGTGACATTGAAAAGGGATGGCAAGATGACGGCAACAAAGGTTTACCACATGGGGTCTTGGACTCGTTGCGCAAAGTCACGCCCGCCAATGGCTTATTAACGTTTGAACGTTTCTGTGCCGGTTTAAAATTATGCTTGCTACGCAATCAAAATCAATTAAAGACAAATGATCTAAAAACCACAACGACATTAACTCCTGTTAATGGGATTTGGAAAGCAAAGAGTCCATTGAAAGCATCCCGGCCACCTTCCGCTCCCAGTCTAGCTATAGAAAATCCAATACCTAATAATCCTTGGTCCGATAATGTCAAAACAAATCACATATCTTTTAGCCAAAGAGCTTTAAGTTTACCACAACTTAGTCCAGACTCGGAAGGGGAATTAGCTACATTGCCTCACACTTTACGATCACCACCAAAACCACCAAGAGCTTCTGTAACGAATACTGTAAGTGTTAATAAAACGAATGCAATAGTTTCTGCTTCAACTGTGGATCGTAATGAAATCCGCCATGCCTTACAAAATTGGCAATTGAATATATTGCGTAATAAGATGGAGAACAAGGATAAACTAAGTCCAGCCAACTATTTGCAACAGTGCGGGTATAGAGGTAGCGCTGACGGCGGTTCTTCTTCAGCTACAGACAGTGGCAATTTCATGAATCTCCCTTTGAAAAAGTCCTCATCAAAGAGACGTGAACCCCGAAGGCATACTCTACAAAACGGTATAGACTACAATATGCTGAAACGTCTTAAACAATACGAAGAAGAGCGAGAAGTTTTACTCTTAGGTAAGATCGAAAAATTAGATAATATGCGAATATTAGGTAATTTGTAAAATGTGTATACAAAGGAATTAATGTGTATAAACATTGTACATGAAACAATATGTGACTATATGTATGAGACCGTGAATAACAAATATCCATGTTTCATCATCATAAATATCCCAGACCATAAATATCCCATATAATAATGTTTACAACAAAAGCTCGAAATCTTTCTATGAATATAAACAAGAGCTTAGAAAAACTCTCCCCGCAACATTTACCAGCTCTTGCATTGAAAAAACGACTATGAATTTGGTCATACTGGCTGTTGTTATTCTTATTGGAATTAGAATTTTTGAATGCAATTTTTCAACCTTTTTTTTAGGGCTGGAGGCTGTTAACAAAGCTCGAGAATGGTATACGCAACAGTTGATCAATGTTCAAGAAAAAATTAAATATTTAGGACGAATGGGAAACAATTACACGGTAGGATATTTATAACTAACGTTATTTAAAATATATTATTCAATTTTCCACTCTAGGAACAATGGTCCGAAGTTCAAGAAGAACGGTTAAACTTCCAGAGAGCTCGCGTTATTGAGGTGAATCGATCACTTTCAACTTTACCCGACACTTGGGAAAGAGAAGGCTTCCCGTTACATATTAATTTAGCCATAAGGTCTCCAAATAAAAGTCTTAATCAACGCCTCAACAATGGCTTACCACTGAATAGTGTAAATGACAGATTACGTCAGCAGAATCGTTTGCTTACTAGTGAAGTTCATTTAAAAAGTGAACGTATTGCTATGTTAGAACGCGAAAAACAAACTTTGCTTGCCGAACTATTCGATTTAAAACAACGATCTGGCCTCACTAGGCATACAAATAGTTATTTAAATGCTCTTAGCCAATCGTCACCAGGTTGTAGTTCATCCTCCGGTGGCTTAGGAGACGCGGATGTAGTTTATTAAGAGCAACATTTTATTTAACAACATTGTTTAATTAAATGCATCTTGATATTAAATTAAAAATTAAAATGAATTTTAATTCTATTCAATAGATGCATAAATAAGATAACTTTTCCTTTATCACTTTGGATTGGGGAACAGTCTCATGTATTTGTTCAATTGTCGGTAATTCAAATTATTGCCAGGTGTAATGATACCCTGATTAACGGTGGCTTTGAGAGCTGTTTTACCATCCATGAATACTTTGTAGCATTTTTTAAACTGTGAAATTTCTTTATGGCAAAATTTCTCTACAAAGTCATTATCTTTAAGGCAGGCAAAAAGAATACTCATTTCCTGTAAGCAGGCAACATCGGAACTGGAATCTGATTTCCCACTAACTCTATTCTTCAAACGAAGAGGCAATATCTCCTGGAATGGTACATCTTTTTCATTTTGGGGGGCCCTGGCTTTCCGATTAGCTGCATTAAGAACAGAGAAAATTCGCATGCTAAAAGTTTGTTAATATTATAATTACTAAAAGTAATTCGCAAACTTACCTCTCTTTTTTTTATTAAAAATTTAAGTTATGAAGACTTACTACAGCTGTTTGCAGTTAAGAAATAGTGTTGTAAAGTGTAAAAAATACCAGGCAAATTTTATTAAAAATAAATAAACATAATGATCAGCTGTTCCCAACCAATAATGTTATATGTATTTAACTATAGAGACATATATATATGTAATATACATATAATATCTCTGTATAATATATTGCATTCATCTATTATACCATATATATATTAATATCATATGTTAATATATACATATTAACGCCATATCTTACTATATGTACAATATTAATAATATGCACATTCGTCTCGTTGTCCTTCGAGTTGTTTAAACTTATGTCGCGAAAGAATCACTCGCAATGTATAATTCTCGATCACTTTTCCGCCATTTATAATAACCAAAGTAATGTGTATAAACTTGTGACGTCGCATTCAGGTTTTTGGTGAATTGGAGTTATTTGTTGAATTCTCTTTTTTCATACGATACCGAGTATTCATATTCATGTGATTTATAAAAGATGTCTTAAATTATTATTTTCTACAATCTGTCTACCCTGAAAATCAAAATTGGTTGTATATTAAACCTGAACTATTTTCAATTACAGACAGGTTAATAAAATTACGTAGAAAATGTGGAGAAAACTAATTGCAGAAGTCCTTAAAATTGCGGATTTCTTTGCATTCAAAAAAGAAACCTATTATTATTATTATTATTATTATTAATTTCGCCAGAGAAATAAATTCTAAGACTAAAACTCTTAAAAGCACTAGCATCTAAGGCTATCGGCTTTTTATTAAAAACTCTACCGCACTTGAGATTCGAACCCACGACCATTGACTTGCTAGTCGAGATTCCTCCCCTTCGGCTACTCAGGCGAATAAGAAACCTAATATATATAATTCAAGCTCAATTTATAAGTTAAGAATCGAACACAGAAATGGTGACAAACAGTGATGGAAGCGTTAAAACGTTTACAGCGAAGCTTTAATTGTACTGTCAGCAGATAATAGCAAGCATTATAAAACTAAAAATACAACAGTGTGTTAATAAAATAAATAAGATGTATACGAAAGAACACTAATTTTTATTTTCATTTTGTTTAAAACAAAGAACAAATAGTTCAAACTAATTAATATATTGTTGTTAATGATTAGTTTTTTTATTTTATTTGTTGCAACCGATTTACGTGTAACGTAAAAAAATGAATAAAGAAAAAGTTCTAAATCGTAGCGAGGGACAGACATTATCCGCAGCATCTGAATTGGCGGCAGCCACGAATCCTTTAACAAACAAACTGCAATTAGCGAGATTTCATCCCTATCATGGAGCGAATATAATATTATGCGACGACAATACAGGTAAGATGTATACGAAAGAACACTAATTTTCAATTTGTTTATAATACAAACACTAACATTTTGTATTTAACTTTTTTAACAATACAGTAGCGTTTCGTAAAGCTAGCTTTGCTGATGCGGTTACATTCTCCGAAAAGCCTTTACAACTGGGTGAAATATTTTTAGTAGAAATAGAAAAAAATGAGCGTGGCTGGTCAGGACATATGCGTCTGGGCTTAACTCAATTGGTACCCGATGGCCTGGCAGACGGATTGCCACAATTTGCTTTACCGGATTTAGCTAATTTGGCTACCAGCTGGATTTTTCCAATTTCAAAATTTGAACCGCATTCCTCAGTATCGTGTTCAAACAACGAAATTGATGGAGGCAGTGTAGATGCTATAGAGGCTGCAATAACTGAAGGCCAACCTTCGTCGGCGGTGCTAACAAAAAGTATGTATTGTATTATATAAGCAATTGGAGCTTTATTCAAATATAAGTGTAGAAAAACATAATTGAAAACAAATTTCACGCAACTCAACATTTAAAGCAAGGGCAGCGACTATCAGTGTAAAGTACGATAACATAAAACTTGTCAACATTTGAACAATTCGAGCGTAAAACCATTAAAAAGGATACAAAAAAGTTCCTTTACATCAAGATGAGTAGCGTGATAAACTGAAACGCTGATAATTATTTTTTGTTAATTTGAAATTATACTTCGGATAAGATTAATTCGTAAATTAATGAGACCCTAAATGTTAGATACTAAGTTATAGGTTAGATAAAATCAAATTTCAGGTGCTTGTTAAATTACGAATATGTTCTTTAGGCAAAATTTTGGGCGACTCCATCTACGTACGCACCCCAAGGGGAATGTTTCCGAAACGTTTACTAAGACCAACAGTGGTGGATGTTAACGGTAGCGCAGATTGTAATCCGGGCATATTATTAACAGACAAAGGTTCACGTATAGGCGTGGTATTCGTGCCAACCGAAGCCGATAAAACCAAAGCCGAAATGCATTTTATCATTAATGGTATCGATCGGGGGCCTTGCACAAAGGATATACCAATTGATAAGACCCCATTGCATGTTGTCATCGACGTATATGGTACCACAAAACAAATTCGTATCATACAGTTATACGGCAGTAAGAGCGAAATTATCAATAGTGAATTTAAAATCGCATGCCTTGTTAATAATTCTCTCTTTTCAGTTGTGTCGCTACAAAATGCTTGTCGTGATGCTATCCTACTTAATATCAAGCCGCAAAATATCGACAAGTTGCCGTTGCCAGAACGTTTAAAAAGTTACCTTAAAGGCCAGGATTAAAAAATTTGCTAAATTTTTTTTTTTACATAAATATTTGAAACATCAAACAAGATAATTTTTCTTTAGTTCGATATACAAATTGTACTATTTCGCACAAATTCTTTAACAATTTTCGTGTTTTGTTTTGTTTTTAAGTTATTGGAAAACACTTGTGATGCACTTTTTTGAATACATTATTATTATTGATTATATTTATTTACCTATGTAGCATAATCTATCATTAATTAGAGGAATTTCAAAAATTGACCCAGTTTCCTTACGTACACACAACAACAATCTAAAAATGCTATGAATGTACGCAAATGTTATTTTAGTGACTTTATTGCAACACTCATACATTTGCACACATATTTTAAAACTGAACAAAATAAGAAACAAGTCACGAAGTTTGTATGCATTTCAAAAAAGTATAAAAAAAAATTACACCGGTTATGGTCATGGTCGTGATTAACCAAGACGACTAGTTAATATAATACATAAAACAAATGTTGTGTAATTTAAAATAACTATAAATAAATACCAATCAAAAATCAAAAAAGAAAAAAATTAAGACCCTGTTAAATATTTTACAAAATACTTATACAATATTATAAAAAAAAAAGTGAAGAACAATTTCCACATATATTTCATTCGTTTAGTTTAAAATCCTTCTTGAACTAAAAAACCAAACGGTATTCAATACTATTATTATTTTATATTTTGTAATACATGCATATGTGTTTATTTCTATTAATTCACACACATCTAGCATGATTGTCTACATTCTATTTTAGCTTATACCAGATAATATATATATATATATATAATATATATATATATATTATTTATATACAGCAAATATATGTACAACAAATAAATTATCTCTTTTCTTATTGCCCAAAAAAACATTAACAAAAACATTATTAATTTTTTTTTTTTTTAATTTAAGAAGGTTCGTAGGTTTACTAAATGTCTTAACACGGTTGACTGGATCTCTGTAAACATTAAAGCACGTTTAACATCAAATGAGGCCTTGATTATTAGATGGTTGCATGTATTTTAACAGGCGACTTTTACACTTAACAATTATAAAGAGTTGAGTTATACGGCGTATGCCGACGCTGAATCTTGCTATCGTTTTGATGGACCATCTTTCTTAGGAAAAATCGTATTAACTTTAGGTTTGTTTGCTATAGGCGTAGTTGCCTATAAATTTTACAAAGCTCGCAATGAACGCAATTACCAAAACCTTTGAGCCGCCACTGCTTTTACATCCGCCTTTAATGAGGTCATTAACGCTCCGGCAGCTGCCTCTAATTCTACTGGAAACGATGCTGAACGAGTTTGATTTGTGCAGCCAAGTATAGTTCCCCACCATCGCCGCCACCACCGCCTCCACAGCAGCAAATAAACCAATCTTCACCTTCGGCCTATGAAAGGCTCCTACAAACGTAATTCATTTATCTAAGCATAAAGTCATGGCATCAAGTTCAATTTTTCTCAAGTATAGTCTACTCCTTAATCGTTTCCACAGAATGGCATTAGTTCCACTAGAAATACCTATCAATTAGTAAGCCAGCCGGATTGTCAGTCTTTTTCTTTTTTTTTTTTTTTTTGGTTAGGGGAATAAATGAAAAGAGAACGGTAATGTGTGCGCGTGTGTTAGTACTTTGATGATTACACGTTTGGAAATGTGTTAGTGCGCGAGTGAATGCGTGTTTTTATTACATTTGTGTGTGTACGATTTGCGAAATTTTCCGGATGCCTATTGTAATTTGGCTAATGCTCTAAAAGAGAAAGGACAGGTACGTTGCAATCAAATTATTATGCATTATATTTGCACAAAATCCGATTTCTTCTACAAGGTTAAAGAAGCCGAAGATCGTTACAATACTGCTTTGCGTTTATGTCCTAACCATGCAGACTCTCTTAACAATTTAGCTAACATAAAACCAGAGCAGAGCTTTATCGAGCACGTCTCTATTTGAAGGCGTTGGAGGTATTCCCAGATTTTGCGGCGGCTGTACTTTTTTGTCGTAGGCTATACTATTTTTGTTGTATGCTATACTATTTTTGTCGTAGGCTATACTTTTTTGTCGTAGGCTATACTATTTTTGTCGTAGGCTATACTGACCTCATTTAGCCAATTAGTTAAAAAATGTAGATATAATAAGACGTCAGATGTTGAAAATTTTATCAAACTATATGCAAATAATTCAAACTTTACGTGTAATTGATAATTTTCTTTAGTGTAGATAGCAAATATATTGTAATCTAATGTTTGGCTTCCCGTGATATTAAATATTTCCAAAGCACCCGTTTTTGAAGTAGGCGGTCTTATTAACAACGATTTCATAACAAGAGCTTTTCTGCTTCCTTCAGTTAATGAAGAAGCTAGCGCAGTGTAGTTTGTAGTGGCAGTGTAGGATTAGTGCTTTCTACGATTATTCTCGTGTGGTCGTCAAATTAATTTAATTATTTTAATTAATTTATCTCCGGGCGACATCTCGTTTACCTCATGAAAGTACGTTTTGCTATAATGTCATATTTAGAAAAATATTAGTGCCTTCAAATTTTTAGTTTTTCGTGTTGTATTTTCCTCTTGTCTTTTTTAATTTATTAAAATATATTAATGACATCTTAATTTCGATATTATTATTTTGAAATGATTAAAGAGAAAGCATCTATCCGAGGAAAATAAAAAAATAATTTTAGACTAATGAAATAAATTCTTAGACTAAAAAAAAGACATTGAGGAGTCGTGTACTGTTAAAAAAAAAAAAAGCGACAGCATAGGTCACCGCTTAGCGACGGGGAATTGAGCCCCGGTCGCTCGAATAATAAGCAACGGTATCAGCTCGATTGAGACGTGCAGTTCGATTAATTAGACGCATGGACAGACATCGGACGGAAATTCATAAATTTGAATCATTTTCTAAGTTGATCGACACAACCATTGCCTGTCTATTGACTCGTCTAGCTCATTGACTCGTGTCAGAAATGATGTAAGGTAAGTATAAGATTCTTTTTTTTTATAACAGAGACAATTGGCTTCGTTAAAAAATCGCTTTGTTCAATTAATTTTCTATCATTTGATCTTGTAGTCCTTGTGCGTATCCAGCTTCCCATCAATGATCTTGAAATATTGCTGTGAAAAGTTTCCCATCATTTGCTCCATTTGCTTTTATATATAGCTTTCTGCAAAGATTTACTCTTCGTATAATAAGCTCTCTGTTTATAGCATGTGAAACAAATGAGAACGAATATACACTTATTCTCAAAGCGGCACAATACATGCAAAACAAATGAGAACGAATATACACTTATTCTCAAAGCGGCACAATACATGCAAAACAAATGAGAACGAATATACACTTATTTTATAAATCGGCACAATACATGCAAAACAAATAAGAACGAATATACACTTATTTTATAAATCGGCACAGCTAGCGATATTTTTTCTCTTCTGTTGCGCATAATTACAAGCTTTAAAGCATGAGGGACATGTTTGAAATCATAACTGAAGTTTCGGACACAATTTCGGTTTACGGTATTGTTTCCGCACATTGACGCATTATACTCTCAGTAGAGAAAGCACAGAGTTGTTTTTAATATTTAATTTATGATATTAATGTAAAATGAATGAAAATAATCAAAAGCTCCAGGAAGCTCTATGAGAATAAAAGATGTGATATGAAAGAGAAAGATCCAATTTTTTATAGAAAATTTCATTATTTTTGACGGTTTGTAGACGTAGCAGATCCAGGAAAGTAAGAAATGCTGTAAATAGTAATTGCGGCTCTGAAAATATTAAAGATTCACCGTGCGAAAAATATCGCGAAACGCTAATGAAAATTAATATATTCAGCAAGGTAATCGCGTCGTAGGCAGAGGGAAGCATAGTTTCCAACTTCTTCTAAACATTTACTTTCATGTGTTCAGTTCAGTGTTGATCCCGAACAATAGTTGTAATTCGATTGTTATTTAGCTATACAATATATATTTTCCTTTCATCATTGCGGTTAAGCTATTTAAAACTTCGAAACGTTACCTTTTTTACGTTTGTGCTGACGTGTTTAAAGAAAAAAGCAACTTGAAATATAATCGTCCTTTACTATACAAAATGATACACAGACAAATGCACGTGTGCTTTAGCCTAGAAATTGAATCAGGCTATTGTTAAGCATAATAGCGTATTTGGGAAAAATCTTTCTGTGGAAAACATATGCCATTTCTTTTACATGTGACATTATATGGCAATAGAATACTTTCCGACGGAAATAAGTTTAGAATACGTGATTTGATATAAAAATGTACGATCCTAAGTCGGGATCATACAGAAGGACCCTCTTGAGAAGTAGACGTTTGTACGACAATAATGCGCAATTTTTAATATTGATTGCGAAACATAGTAGGAAAATAGTTGACGACAGCTTTACCTGACTTTACGTGACGTTTAAGATCTATTTTTTTTTTAAGAGTTTGGAAACTCTGCTCGGTAAATAATAATTTCCGTTTAATCTTATTTCGTATTCAACAGAAATTTTTCGTGTTATTATTTTTATGCACAGTTTAGTTAATTTCAAAAGCGAGAGAGTCAGTTATTTTCTGTGAATTACGTAACCCAGATCCAGCAGCTGCTTTCTTGTTTCAGTCTTCTCTTCGTTCATATATGAATTCATGAATTTTTTACGAGATATTTCACCTTTTCAGCACTGACAAAAAGAAGAAGAAGAGAATTTCAAATGATACGTTTTGTTTCTTGCATTTTCAAATTATTGTTAAACTTGACATTACCCAGGGATCATTTATATTTTCTTAAAATAGGTCAAGACAATTTTTATCGCAACAAACCAGTTAAGCCTATAGCCTTTTTGCGTACCAATCCCAACTTAATCTCGACTGTTTGCAAAGGGCAAAGTTAGAGTTGGCTTCCTCTTTTCCCAAACTTTTAGACATTTTTATATCATTCTAATGACATGAAAAACTTCTAACATTTTTATGGTTTCTACGGAAAACCAATTTCAAGGTTGAGATAAAGACTTGAAAGATTGGTGGAAAAAAAATCCGAAAGGTTATGATAAAAGTTGATACCCCTACATATTTGTTTTGCCTCAGGGGCGAACGCTATTGAAAATGCCTGGGATCGGACCGGTTTTTTTGATCCTACTATAGTGTTTTTGTTTGTTTTCAGCATTACAAAAATGAGGAACATTACTTGAACAAACAGAATGGATACACAAGTGTTCACCTTACTTGTATTTCAGCCTGACTTGGCGCAGAACAAATTTTACGTAATCAAATTCAAATACAATTAAAAGTTCTATCGAAAATCGATTCATTTTATTGAAATATGCTTATTATTTTTTATTAACTACAATCTAGTTTTTTACCAAAAATATTTATAACATTTAATTACTTAGCCCCACGATTTTCGGCCAATTTCTCTTTAAAAAGATTCTTTAATTCTTGGGCTCCCTCTTCGTTGGTTTCCATGTAATAAGGCAACTCAGCCATTCGTGTCAACCATGCCAGTACATTTGGAAATTTGAATTCATCAATGGGTGCCACCTCATTAACCGATGTTACTGTAGCCAAGCAGCAAAAATCACCAATAGTCATAACGTCTCCGCACAGATATGGTTCATTTTTGAGAAATTGTTCCATTATCTCGTAGCATTTTTGTATATAAGCAATTTTATCCATTGAGCAATCGGTGGAACCATAATACAATATTGGTTCATAGAGAAAACGTAAACGAGCGAATAAATGACCCGAATCGAAATGTAGGCGGGCATCAACTAATGCTCTCTTCACCAAATCTTTCGGATACAGTTGATCGTCGTTAGCATATTTTTCAACTAAATAGGCGCAAATCGCATGAGAATCATATACAACTGCATCGCCATCAACCAAAGTCGGTATAGTGTGCTGAGGATTGATTTTAATGAATTCTGGTGTTAAATGTTCGCCTTTCATAAGATTTATGGGTCTAAACGAATAAGAAGAAGAGAAAAAGATTGTGTTTTTCAATTAATTAAGAAACTCTTAAAATCAATACAAACGGATGCACTCACTTCAGTTCAAGCTCAAGATCAATAGCCTTAGCCGTAAGCAACACAGCTCGTGCTGGTGGACTTAGTTTTGCATAATAGAGCACAGGTCTCGACATTTTTTATGATTATCTGAAATGAATTTGCAAAATCAACAATTATTAAAGGTAAATAAACGAGAGCTGCTTTATTATTCGCCTCAAAAAAACTTCGAATCCAATATCACGAATAGTATGGGATCCGCTAAAGCATATAATTCCTAATTTTCTTTTTTTTGTTTTTTTTTTTTTGCATTCATTCATTGGGCGGTATTTTCATTTTATTCTAAGATGACAGACCAAAAGAAGGATAGACGGATTTTGGAATATCGGACCAAAAACAAAAATCTTAACATATTATGAAATCTCTGATGAATAACGTGAAGTGTTATCAGTAAAATAACAAACCGAACATAGCGCTTTTCTCTGGTCATGGATATTAATATGAAAATTTGCAAAGGATTTACGCCGCCTTACTTGCAATGAATGATATGAGAGAGATGTTCACCAGAATCGAAATTTATAAAATGTGATAAGTTGACGAGTCGGGATAGTATCACATTTTCGACCATTTCCCATATAATTCCTTATTTTGAAAAGTCGGTTTGTGAATAAATTTATGGTGCGACGCAATCCTCTGTAGTCCTTTTACTTATTTAAGGCTACTTTTATTTCTTGTTATCAGTGACTGCACCTTCGGTCTGGCCTTCTAATTCCTACAAACGTGTTTTTCGCCACTATCAATTTCAAAATATTTACCGTGAAGGCTCAATCCTGTACTCGCATTCGAGATAACAAGATACGTGAACCTATACGGGATAGTATTCGTTTTGGGCTTGGACATCCAAGATAAGCAAATTTAAATAAATAAAAATCACCCAACTCTTTATGGCGCTGAGGAATTGCATTGCATTAATTGTTTTAGTATGTAAATTGTGCAAAATTGCAGGTCAAAGCAAGTTAAATGAAAAAAAAAAGTTAAAAAGAAAATTCATATTTATATTCACTTAAAATGTTACATTGATTACTTTATTAAGTAAGAAAATAGCAAATCTGTTGTCATATCTGATACTAATTAGTAAAAAAATATAAAATGATATAATTAATTTTCTTTTTAATGTATAACATTTAGTTATTAGTGTTATACAATTGAATGAATTATTGTGAATAATTAAAAAAATTAATTTAATTTATTAATTAACAAATATTAATTGTTTAATTTTTAATTCAAATAAAAATTAATCATTATTAATAAATTATTCTTTTTTTTGTTAATTAATTAATTAATTTGTTAATTAACTTATAACAAACTTAATTTAATTTATTCATGAATAATTAATTAGTTCTTAATTAATATAAAGTGAAATAAAAACGCCCATCTAAACACGGCTCATCCTAAAATTTTCTATAACACTTCGATTAATACGGTTATTCTTCCAATACGAAATATTTTTGATGCCTGCGTTTGGCTTAAAGCCAAAATGTGTCTTTTTATCAAATTTCATCGAGGCTTTTCAAAAATTGTGACCTGTAGGTTGAACGAAAGGAGACAAAATGGCCAGACGGGCAGACAAGCTTAACCTCACAAAGTGATTCTGAATCGGTGGGTCTATCTCAAGTTCGTCCCGTTGTTACATATATCGGCAAGTGATGTAGGGTATAAATAATTCTTAATAAATAATCATTATTCACAAATTAATAATAATTAGTTTAAATTATCATATTAATCAAATTATTAATTAATTAATAATTTTTTAAATTATTTTTTTTTTAAATTAATTGTTTTAAAAAAAATGTTATTAATTCTTAATTATGTCAATAATTAATTAATGAATTAATTAATATTTCACTAAACAATAAATAACGAAAATTTATGCAGCGGTTTCAAACGGAATTGATCGGCTCTTTATAGCATGAACATGAACAAAGTTTAAAAAATATTAAGCTTAGTCATACAGACAGCATTAATTGATCCCAAATGTCTGCGTATATGTATTAAGAATTGTTAAAAATTATAACATAATTAGAAATGTTTACAGTAAGTAATGAAAACGCGCAGTTCAGTGTACTTCACAGTTAAATTATTTAAATTGATAATAAACGGATATATACATGCATATATATATACATATGTTTAGCCTCTAATTCAATCCGTAATGAAAATTGGGTGAACTTAAACATCGAAGCTATTCAATCAATGCAGCTATAAACGACAAGTGTAGTCGCAAAATGCCGATCGCCATCGTTTATAGCTTTGATTTAATCGCTGTCACTAGTGACGTAGGCCGACCGGAAGCCATGACCAATCAATCAATGCAAACAATCGATAACTGGCCGCATCTAGATCTTAGAAACCACTTCCGTTCGCTTATATAGTTTTTTATCGTCTTTTTTCATTTTTGACTTTTCAGAAGTGTCAAATCGAAATTGATCGAAAATAATAACAATTTTTTTTCTTTCATAGCTCTTACAGCTTAACATTGATACTTTCGTAAACTGTCGCCTTCAATTTGATTAAGATTTGTGCGAGCAAAGCAAAGTTGATTGTATACGAAATTTATCCAATTTTCGGAATAACCTATATGCGGGTATATATGTATGTTTTGTACAAAAATTTGGCAAAATTCTCTATGTCAATCAATTTTGAAATTAATAAAAGCGAAAGTGAAAGATAAGAATCCTTGCTTATGCCCGATCTATCTTATGCTTATTAGACGACTATCGTACAGCAAATTGTATAGCGCCATGAAGCGCTCAAGTGCGGGGCTCGGCGTTGCCTTACGCTTCAAAAACTTAGTTCTATGTAAATTGTTTTAAAAATTAAAGGAAGAGAGGGGGGAACCAAATTTTTCAAATCACAACCGTCTCCGGCAATGCATTTAATCGGACTAGTTTTGCATGTATGCCTATCACGATCATTAAATATTAATTTATGCGAAACACTTGCTTATTTACACATCTGGCGGCTAAGTTTCTATACATGCACTATATTGAAGTTGTGTTTAATTATTAAATTGTTTTTGTGTTTTCGCGTTTTTTTTTTTGTTTCATTTTACTTATTCTAAATTTTAATAAAATTTTCATTTTCTCCCGCGAAAAGCAAAAAAAATTTTTTGTATCGAAATTCTTGCAGATAACATACATACGCCGTTAATTAGCAAAATGCTCTCTATGAATACGCGATTATCGTCTCAATAAAGAGAACTTTTAAATTACTTTATGTAAATGTGTTGGAAAAATCTTGTCGTATTAGCACCTTTTTGTTTCTGTTTACAACCGGCTGCAATAACTTCTCACTACTGCAGTTGCTACAAAACTAATTTTTTCTCACTTTTTCGACCCAATACAGTGTAGTAGTTACTTAGTATAAGCGGTTTTTTTTTATTATTTTTATTTTTATTTTTTTTTTTTATTTTGTTGCGAAAATTGAAAGCTATATAGTATATAAGCGAACGTATCTTTCGTGTAAGTAATGGCACAGTTAGCGAATTCTTAATGCAGTGTAAAGAACTCAATTGTTTGATGTATGACTTATGCATGCATAAGTATAATATAATAATAATAGCTAGGCCTTCATATGCTTTGAATTACAGTATTTTTATAGGAACTTTTTCTCAAACGAAGTTCTCTTTGAAAATACAATTCAATCTATTGATTATTGATTTAAAAAAACAAAAAATTTACGATCGAATTCAATTGACTCTTGGAAATAAATCTTCTGCTAAATAATGTATTAATAAGTATTTTAAAGTATGTATGTAAAGAAAGTAATAAAAAGACATCGGTTGAAGGAAATAGAAAGAAAAAATAGACAAGTACACAGACACGTGTTGGGAGTGAATCACTAAACCGTCGCAAAGAAGCAAATGCTCGTGAAAAAATGCAGTTCAATTCCCGAACCATATGAAAAGTTACCAAAATTGGAGGTTAAATTTATTTTTTTTTCGTTTATTAAGCATTTTATTTAAAGAATCCGATATTGCAGTGATATTGTAGATATCATTTAGATTTTTGCCAAGGGGTCTTAACGGTCTGAACACCTCGCAATTATTTGGCATTGGCTCTTCGAAACTCTGAAGCCGATCAAACCATGTAAGTATTATTTATTGACTTAGTTAAGAGGGAAACAAACATCAAAGACTAAGGTAAGGCTAACAAAAGCAGTCTATTTTCATTTGGCGGCTAAGAGATAAACGTGTAGAGAGTTTGTTTGGAAGATTATCAGATGACCATTAACTTCTTATCGGAACACGTCGGTATTTATAACGACTGCACTTAAATGTATGTGGTGGGTATCTTTTCTTCGTTCATAATTCGAGAAAATGCAAAGTTAATACAAAACCCAATATTTTCAGTCCAATGCTGATTCATTTAAAAGTGAGCCAAAAAAGAACAAATATTTTTTTAGTCAAGCGTCGTCAAACTTTTGTGGAACAGTGCGTTCAAGAAAATGCTCATATTCAATAATTAGGCCAACGTTGTACCGCAGTATATAGCAAAGGCGAGCAATAATAGATATTGGATCTGTTTTCTTGCTCTTATATCGTTTTATTTTTTATGCTTTCAAACATCCCAAGAAAATATTCTTTCCGTCCAACATTCCAAAATTGCTCGATAATCGTCCATTTAGTTGCGTGTCGGCTTATTCTCAATTTATAAACAACCATTTAGTTGCGTGTCGGTTTATCGTGCTTAGGGTATTTGAGCCGTAGCATATTACAAAAAGCCATATTCCCTTTGGATGTTAGTCTATAGTTTGTTATGTGGAAGGCAATAAAAGCTCTTGGGTTTGTATTTTTTCAGTCTTTTTTGGTTTTTTCTACCGTGCATTCCTTGTTAGTGTGACTAAGGTGATGTATAGCCTTTTTGTAACGTAAATGCCACCGAGGTTTTTGGGCCACCATTTAATAAAGCCTAGTGCCGACACAGCTTTATTTAACGATAGCTCAAAGTGCAGATTAGAGCGTAGCCTTAAACTTTAAGGAACCGGGCGTGAAAAGTGCTTTATACGCGTTCAATTAAAACATTCTTAATTTTTAATGAATTTTTTTTTTAAAATTCACGATCTCTTAGAGAAAAGTTTGTTTAAAACGCTTCCGAAGCCTTGAAGGTTAGTAACACCTGTTAATTTATTTTCTTTTTTTTTTATTGATATGCATTATTTATTTATGCATAAGACATTAGCTAACAAGTGCTCAATACGAAAAAAACGATTACAAGGAAACAAAATTTAGTTGAATTGTACAGCATGAAAAGAAGGTTATATGTACAGAGCATAAGATGAATTTTTCCCTTTTGTTAGATTATCTATAAAGGAAAAGAAGTATAGAATGAGTGATAACGTAGGTCTACGTTAATGCATGTCGACGTACCAAATTTCATCAAAAGATCTCAAAAATTGCGACATATAGGTTGAACACACACACACAAACAGGACGGACGAATGAAGGAACAGACAGACAAGCTTATATCCACTCAGAAGGTAACTTTGAATCTATCGATATATAATAAAAACTGGCTCTGTCTCAAGTTCTTATGGGTGTTGCAAGCTTGTGCGCAAACTCAATGCACTCTCTTTACTACAAGTCAGTCTTCACGGCTTCAAGCGCGATAGAGTTTGCCTTAGTCATAGTTATAATGAGGATGCAGTCGACAAAGGCATAACACTGCACTGCACTCACCCCGCTATCTCTATCCCTTTCCTGACTTCTTTAGGACTGAGCAAATTTAAAACAAAAAATGTGGCATAGAGCAAAAAAGTAAAATAGATGATCGATCACCAGTAACCAACGGCTGTCGGTTTAATATAATGCTGTTGACTAAAGCAGAGGAAGAAAATTTTAAATTAAAACAATTAGAAACGATACGGTCGAATAAATGCGTCCATGAAATAATCCAACTCTGCCTCATCTACTCTAGACTTACGTGATGAGTTTAAGAAAAATCAATACAAATTAAAGAGTAATTAGGTCGACGAGAAAGGAACATCTATTCAACCTATTTTTTTTTTTTTTTTTTTCATGTTCTGACTGTAAAATGAACTGAAAAATAATCGAAAATTGAATATAAAAATATCTCGTTTTACGGAATCGTATTAAAACAATAAAAGTAAAATTCTTACTTGCCCACCTCTGTTTAAAAGAACATCACTTGGAACGTTGTTGAGTAAATCGTAAAGGCTTTTAACTTCAATCGCATTTCATTATCAAATCATAGCATAGGTTAATCATACTTATTTTATTAATAATAATTTATATATTTATAAAGTAATGTGTACGTGAACACGCACTCAACACAATTGACTGATTGATTTATTTATTTATTTATTTGTTTTGTTTATTTTAGCGTATAAGTAAAATAATACATTTTCAACAGAACAATAATAAAAAAAAAAAAGAATAATAATAATAATAATAAGCTTCGACTTTTTCAATTCTGTTTGTTCAGTAACTAAAAATTTCTAAAAACGAAAAAAAAAAAAAACAATTCTTCAATAAAATCTAAATAATAATATAATATATATTCGTGTACCAACTGTATATATATACATTAATATATATAGATTTATTATAAACATTTTATATTATTTATGTATATATGAACGAAAAAAGCAAAAAAAAAAAAAAAGAATTCAATAAATACTAAAACAATTTGAAAGGAAGCGTTAAATAAAAGAAAAGAAAAAAAAAAAACAAAGAAAACAATAATAACGAAAAAGCGAACGAAAGGAAACAAAAAAATTGGTATTTTTTAAAAGTTGAAAACAAATAATTTTTTCTTTGCATTTGAAATATGTTTCAGTTAATAATAATAAATAAACAAATATTCAGTGACTTAAGTTTAGAATTATAAAAAAAAAGGTATTTATTCTTGAGTTTACTGATCCAACATACTACGTTTAATTGCCTCTTGTATATCATCATCGAATGTCTCAGGTTTGGAATAATCGTCAGCGAACTTTTCCGATAATTTAGCACCGTTCGCCTCCGCATTTATCTTATCAAGATTTGATATTTTTGTTAACATTGTTCGATTTTGTACTTTTATTAAATTATCAAACATTTTCGATGTCGAACATTTCTGGGAATTATTCAAATTGGTTGGGGTTGGAGTGTCAGCTGAAGCCATATCACTATCATTATTACACAGTTCGAAATCATCGAATTTCGCAAATTTATCATCATTTTTAATCGAAAAGGCCGAATTGATTTTATTATTAAGCGTAAAATTCAAATTTTTATCTTTTATAGCCGCTTTGGAGATGTCTTTCGAGGTCGTAAAGAAATCATCTTCAAAATTGTTATCATTGAAAGCATCGAATAGCGCAGGAGCAACTTGTTGAGATTTCTTATTGAAATTATCGCCAAAAGCATCAAAGTTTGTGATCTGAATTTTGCCGCTACTCATTTCTCCCATAAGACCGAAAGCATCGTCGAATTCGTTTAAAGATTTTGTGGAATTTTTCTTCTGATTGCTGTTCGCGTCTAAGCTTTGCAGAGATTTCGTATCAAAATTATCGTTGAAGGCATCAAAGAAAGAGTCCGATGTTTGATTATCTGTCCAACGATTTTTAATAGTCGTGGATGGGTCCATAGCGGAAGTGGATTTAATGGAAAAGCCCTCGAAATCAGCAAAATTATCGAAAACGCTATTAGTTCCCGATGTGATTCGTGTTCTTGTTGCTGTTGCTGTTGCTGTTGTCGTCGCCGTTGTTGCAATGGGTAGAGCAATAACACTTTTCGATCTTATGGAATCGTAAGATGGTACAGGACTTGGATTCATATTGAAAGCATCAAACTGGTCAATCAATTCGTTACTGCCGGCTGAGGGATGTGAATTTGCTGAGCGAAAGGTATGTTGCGAAGTACTGGATGAATCGGCATTCATTTGCATGGAATCCTGAGTGGTATTATTATTATTAGTTTGCTTTTTCTCATCTTCTAGATATAAAAGAGAAAATATTAGGTTTACAAAAAAAATTCTTCGTTTTTCATATTTCTTATGTACCTTCCGAACTTAAATCATCTTTAAATACTTTATCAGGATCAGTTGAAAATTCATCTTCGTCATCATCGAAGGGATCTTTTATATTGAATGGATCTTCGTAACGGTAATCTTTGAAAGGATCATCTTTAAAATCTGTAGGGCCGCTTATTAACGATGGCATCGCCTTCATCGCATTCGATTTATTATTATTGTCAGCAATCGGATGGACGGTGGCGACGGTTGCCATTACTGCATTTGTTGCTATTATTGTTTTTGTTGTTGTCATTGTTGCAGATTTTTTATTAATCACATTGCTGTTAGACACATCGCTATTGGATGCATTTGAATTTTGTTGTAGCGATGTGGTAAAGTCACTTGTTGAAATTGTTGTTGTTGTTGTTGTTGTTGCTGTTGTAGTGGCTTGTGTTTTTGTGAGTTTATCGAACAAAGACATTGTAGGTATAGTCGCTATTGAAGTTTTAGCCAATGTAATGGGAGGTAGTGTAGGTGCCTGTTGAGAGTGATGGCGGGTTTTTGTTTGGTGCAATATTTCAAATGAAAAAGGAGAACAATAAAAATAAAGACACGAGAAAAAGAAAATGAAAACAAAAAAAAATAAAAAAATTAATTTTTAAAAAATGCAAAAAAAAAATAAATGAATAAATAAATTAAATTTCATTGATACAATTTAAAAAAAAATGCGCTTTTTCTGATTCCAATTTAAAGAAACATTGAAAAATCTGAAATTAACTAACTAATCTTCGCAAACTGAAAATTTGAAATAAATGAGAACATTTTTTTACCGCCTAGCAGATTAGAAGGATTTACGATAGCTGTACTTTATGTGATAATATACCTATAGCTGTGGAATGTAGGCCCCTCTCTTTCGCCTTTCCTTTCTCGTTAGCTTGACAAAACAAAACCCGAGTAAAAGTTATGAACGATTGATTGATATTCGATTGCTTTGAAATTATTTATAATTTTATTCGAGATATAATTTTTGTTTTTATACATATTCATGAGAATTATGTGCGTAAATTTATTTATGTTAATATATTTAACTAGGCATAAGGTAAACGCAATTGTAAATATATGTAGCTATTAAACATACAGTAACAGCTATAGAAGAGTGTACAATACAATAATTGAAAGAGTGAGTATATTCTTATATCCACCATTGAACTGGAGATTAGCTTTTTTCATTCCATAAGCACAAATAATGCTTCAGAGAGATTCAACAAAATATTTGAATTTTGTAAATAACAAAGTCGACGTTTGTGCTTCGTTCTAATTCGAATCGGCCTATATCTCACATTCACATTAAGAGGTAATGCTTACTTGTGAAAGGAGGGAGTTATGGGAAATTCTCACGTATTTATTTACTAAGGAGCGATAAATGAATTGGAACTAGTTTTTAATCGATTTTTGTATATTTATTGAAGAAGCATTGAAAAAAATTTAATAAACAAAATGGCGGCACAGTAGCTAGTGGATAATAAAACTGCAAAAAAAAAAAAACAATTGTATTTCTTGACACCATCTCCTATAGGTCACAAAAGAAGACGAGCAGAGCCCCTTTGGTTATCATGCTTGAACATTTAAGGAATCATTTAACGCCATAAAGATGATTGTGAAATTTGTGAGAACTTCAGTTCGGGAATGTTATCAATACTTAGGTTGGAAATAAATGAAGATCAACGCTTGACCGACCTTAGCTAGTAAAACAACTGCCTTCAGATAAGGCTCAAGCCGCCCTCTCTTTGCAGTGCTATATCAAAAATCTCAGTCTGCAAGTGGAAACTGATCTACAATTGTTGAATAGTTCTTTAGAAAATGGATGCATATTTATATATACGTATATATATATATGTATATCGGGAATCGGCGTTTGCACTTAAACATCAAATTTCGCAATTAGTTAAGTATAAGGCAGGGATTAATACAATCTCAATAAATTTAAGCGGGAAACCAAAACTAGATAAATACATTTTTCAACCATCTTCATTTTTTTATACCCTGCAGCAGTTGTGGCATAGGAGTATATTAAGTTTATGCGGATGTATACAGCACTCAGGACTTGGGATGGACACTTTTTTCATTATATCGACCAATTCTGAACCATTTTCTACACCAATCTAAACGTATCTGTACGTCTGTCTTTCTGGTTTTCTTGTATTCAACCCACAGATCGCAATGAGATATTTTAATGGAATTTCGTCCACCAACAGAAATTCCGTCCAAGGACGAAACCTATAAGAAATAGTTTGGTTCGAACAACCGGTTCTCGATTACATCACATTTAACATTTTATTTTGAAAAGTCATTATATGAATAACTGCAGGTTACTGTAGGATATCTGATGATGGGCTATGGCCCACTTTAGTTTTTCCACTGGTTTTATATACATGACAAGTTACTTAAGGAATTTATCCTATGTGTGCAACATGACGAAGCATATAAAACTTTAATGGGCTATCAAATATATGGACTTCCTATTGCTCAGTTTCTATTATATAAAAAACTCTGCGTAAATTTGCAACAAAAATAACTCAAAACTTGAAAAAAAGAAAAGCAGAATAGTACGATATCTGCACGCGTACATGATATAATTAAAAGATGTAGAAAAAATATTGGTAAATATTTTTAATCAGCATCGGTAACATAATCGAAACCCATGTCTGTCTACATTAGACAGATTAGGATCTCAAAATATGGCCTCGAAAAACATATTCAATTTTAAATTTTGCCTCTCACTGCCGTCAATTGAAGTCATAGCATAGAAGCATAGTTGATTGAAAAATTTCTTAACTTCAATACAAGTAACTGGTGAATATAAAAAAAATTCTTTCCCACTCTTTACTCTCTATTGAAAATCATGCGATCGTTCTTATTTAGAATGTTCAGGTGGAGAGTACTCGAAAGTCGTTCAAAGGCAAGCGTAACTTTCCGTTTCGTTCTAGCATTTTTTCAAGTGGCCAATCAAGGCAAGTTTTTTAGGGTGTGTAAGCAACGAACACATTTTGATTAAAAAAAAAAAAAAAAAAATTAAAAACACATATTTTAACTATAAAAGTTTAACATTGATTTAATTTTTATCGCATTTCGAGTCTTTTGATTAGATATTCTCTTGATTAATTCGTTAATATTATCAGTATCTGACACGTTCATGTACCTATACTTGATTAATATACAAGATTTTCATACCCACTACTACTATAGGATGGAATGATATTTCATTTATCTTTGCTTTAGTTGCCTTTAACGCCATTAGTATACGGTCTTGTGTGTCTATATGTCTTTTGCTCGGCTATAACAGAAAGCCTTGGCCCTTGGTGTCCGCATATCAAACGCGTTAACATCATAAAGTCTGAATGTTAAAAAAATTACCATAATCCATTCTATAATAAATTGTAAAAATAAAAAAAGATATTGATCGGCGAATCTTAATCTTTCAACAGCCGTAGGCAGTAAACCTGAGCACTCAAAAATCTTTACACGACATGTGATTTCCATTCGGATCTGTCTGAATGAGCCCACTTACTTAATTACATACATTTCTATTGAACAGATAATCAGGCGTGTGTCTTTTGTGTGTCATGAACACATTATAAAATATTGAACCATTTCTATAAACTTTTTTTAATAGTGAGCGCGGCACGATTCCTTACCAAGTGCATCAAAAAAAAAGAAAGAAAAACTTTCAAACCCTATTGAACTTTTGCGAGATGTCGACACGCCCACATTTCATGCCATATTGTTCGAGATTTGCGCAGGTACGCGACAAGTAAACCTCTCGGGCATGATATCATTATTCGCATCAAACCCCGTCAAACCCATCAGCATATTTGTTAGTGTATTGAACCACTTTCAATAAATTTATCTGAGACAGCGGGTATGAAAACGATTACGATTCGTTCGCCCTAAGGCGAATAATGTTTTCTTTGTTGTTGTGGTTTTTTTTCTTATGTTGAAATTATTAAATCAAATATGTATGTATTTAGAATTTCTCAACATTTATATATTTAACAGGAGAGAACACTTTCGAATTTTTCTTTAGTTAATTCAAGTTAAAAGGTACTCAAGGATAGATGAGGAGAAACGAATATGATTTTGTCTTTAAATATATTTTAATATGAACTTTTTTTCAGGTTTTTACTGTATTTATTAATACACTAGAGAACGCATTAGCACATCAGTAGATATATTTATAAAAATGTTAATGTGTTAGCTAAATATTTGTTATTCTAAGCGTATAATGCATGGTTAGGTTAATAAATAATAATTCAATAAAATTTGAAACAACTTAAAGAAACATCTCCATGAGCCTGTGTTTGCATAAATTTATGCCAATTTTTTTTAAGTTTTTTTAGTTTTTTTAGTGTTTTTTTCTTTCTTTTTTTTTTTTAATTATATGTTATGATGACTGTGGTGTCTATTCATTGTTAAAGACTAACGAGAGATCAAGAGAAAACATTCATAATTGTTAATGTTACTATTATTATTATTACTTTAGGAAATTTAATGGACTAATGGGTTAATGTACGCAATTTATTAGAAGAATTTTTGATATTTTGTTCTTTTTCCCTTTTCGCATCAATTGCAAAGTTTAATTAATTTTATATAAATGTTTATGAGTGATCTGTTCTCTTTAAATTTATGCTGTTCACTGAAAATAGAATTTTAGAGAAAATGAAAGCTTACAGTTAGTTTGTTTTTGTTTTTTTTTTTTGTTTTTTTTTGTTAAAAAGTTTGTATAGTAGAGTAGGCTATAAAACCGCAGGCAAACAACAATAACAAAACGATAAGACAAATATTTTGGACTCACGCATGACTCAAAGGGAGAGGTTAAGCAAAGTTAATTAATGAACTGATGGCTAGTGATGATAAATCGGTAGTCGAATATATAATATATGTGCGTTTGTATTTATATGATATCACTCATAATGAAAAGCTTTAAAAGAAGCTTAACGCAAAAAGTAAATATTTTTTGGATTTCTTCAACATTTTTATTTGTTAGTACAAAAATGAAAAAAAAGAAAAAATTAATACTTGAAATAAAAACAGCTGCTACTAGAGCTATAGTAATATAAAAATATTAAAATTGTTGTTATCGTACTAAATAAAAACAAAATGAACAGTAATTTGAATCGATGTGCATGCCTTACCACCAATTCCAAGGTATAGCGACATTACAAACCTTATTGTCAAAATCGGCAAAATCAGCAAAGCCTCCTGTACCTCCGCTGGAACCAAAAGCGTCTGCGGTTGGCTGAGCGGGACGAGCAGGAGCCTAACAAAATGCAGCGTGAAAATAAAGAAAACTTTACATTTTTATTTGAAAATTAAAAATTCACTTGAAAAGAAAAACCTGTAAAGGCCTTGGTGGAGCTGGTCGTGGTGGAGGCACCTTGGATTTTTTAGGTGGTAATGCTGGACTAGGCGATTCTGGCCTCGGTGGTGGTCCCGATTTACTTGTGGTAACAGTGCTTTGCGTAGTTTGTGTATTTGGACTAAGCACCTGACCTTGGCCAGTCGGAGCGTGCAAAGCTGCAAATGGATCACTACCAAAGCTATCTTTGCCGGGCTAAAATTTAATTCAAAAAACATGCTACATCACTGCTGAAATATATGCTCGTTATATGACGTCTTACCTCTGTCGTGACAGAATTTGTTTTACTAGAGAAGGCATCACCGCCGAAAGGATCTTTTTGCTCTTGGCCGAATCCACCTGCCGAACCAAACGCATCAAATCCACTACTAAATCCAGTGGTCGTGTTGAAACTCTCATCGAAACCACCACGTACTCCCGTATTATTTGTAATGTTACCCGCAAATGGATCATTATCGAAACCGTTCGATGTAATCCCATTCTTTTTATCTGCGCTCTCATTCTCATTAAATGGATCGGGTTTGATTTCTTCAACTTCCTTTTCTAAAGTTTTGCGGGCATCATCAAAATCGGGTTCAATTTTCAATTGATATTCGGAGACAAGTTCAGCATTCTCAGCATCAATTGCCGCTTTACACATAAGCAAGGCATCAGTCATTTGCCGTTGGGTTTCCAGTAGCTGAGTAACCATAGAACGTATCTAAAATACAAATAAAGTTAATTTCAATGGAAACTCCATATATATATACGTATATATATACAGATATTTATAATGCACACTGCCTGATAATTAATAGAAGATTCGCATATAATTCGCTAATGCCATGTGTTGAAAAATACTGTTTCAAGACACTTTAATTCATCTGTCCAAAGTCGTTACATTCCTTTTTGTTTGCATATTGTTAGGACAGGACAATGTTATATAGATTTCTTAATAAAAATGAATCAAACTAAAGGTCTTCGTTACCTACGCAATCATCTCAATTGAATCCCTACAAAACAGTCTTAAAAAAGAAATTGAAAAAACAATGAAGACAGGAAGAAAGTGATAGTCGGCTTTTTTAACTGAATACGAAAAAAATCAATTAAAGAAAGTGTGTTTGCTCTAAGGAAAATTTTTGCGCACTTCTTGTATTTTGTTATCACAGAACATGCTCGCATAAGGATCGATCTTACTTTTTTGAGGTCCTTAATAAATTTCAGAACGATATAAATTTGAAGTTAAATGTTTTGAGATCCTTTTGAATATTTGAGATTATCAACGTTCGAACGACAGAAAACAGGCAAAAAAAAAAAACGACAGATATAGGACGGGGTAGGTAGATATTATTAAATTCACCCAGAATTTATGCTGATCTACCGTAAAAGTAAATTATAAAGCGAGCTTTTGGAATTAAGATTTTTATCAACATCATGGTTAGGGTGACATGCAGAATGTGCATTTCGATTAATATCACTTACTGAACTTATCTGCAGTTGAGTATTTTGCAAGTGATTGGTAAGTTTTTGCAGTTCGCGATTATTATCGTCATACTCTTTTTGCAAAGAGTTCTCTTCATCCTTAAGTTTTTGCAATTCGGAGCGTTTAGTGTTTAATTCACCCTCTTGCTCATTAATTGTTTCTTCTTGTTTTTGACATTGGTCACGTATTTTATTGACCTAAAAGAAGTGATAGAACATCAAGATTTCATAAGATATATTACAAACATATAAAGTTATGTGACTTAATTTATTATTTTTAAGAGTGCTAATTAAAGATTAAATAAAAAAGCAACTTACAAAAAGGAAATATTAAAAACCGATGGATGTCTTTTTTTTAACCTCACATCACTCGTGGTACAAGCGTATATTAACTTTATGCAGTGCTCAGAAGGACTTAAAATAGACACAAGTTTTATTACGCCGATCGATTCATTAACACTTGCTAAGCTTAACCTTGTCCGCGCGTCTGTCTGTCCATCTTGTTTTTTGTGTTCAACCACCTGGTTGCAATTTTGAGATAATTCGACGAAGTTTATTACACCGATGCGTTCTGGCCCAAGGACGAACGCTACTGCAAATAATTGGGATCGGACTACTTTTGCGACCATTTCCCATACAATATCACATTTTAAGTCATCATATGAGTAAATGTAGGGTGTTGTGAGGTATTTAATAGGAGGCCGTGGCCCGCTATAGTGTGTTTATGTGTTTTTTAAATAAAGCAATAGAAAACATAGGAAAAATTGAGAGAATAAAAAATAAGCTAACAGAAGAGATATACAAGAAAGTACAATGATAAGAAAAGAAAGAAAAAGAGGAAGGAATAGAAAACCAACCTGATATCTTATTTTGGAAATTTCAAAAGTAAAATGTGCTAATAACACCTGATTATCAAAGCTCTGGCAGATATGGTTGTTTGGAATTTTAATTTAATTTCATTTTGAGTGGATTTGAGTATGTTATCAATTTTTGTATGTATATTGCATGATATGGCCAATTATAAGGAACAGCAATACAATTTGAATCATGATAAAATAAAAATATATTGAAAATAGGAAATAATTAAAATATGTTTTATAATTCCAATTAAAGAATAAAACCAACTAACTATTCAGTATATTGGCGATTACTATTCTCAAACATATGAAAATAAAATACAACTTTGCGTATGGTACCTGAGTTTTAAGATCATCCAGACGTTTTTGAGCTTCGCCACGCTGATGCTCCAGTTGTTTTAACGTAGCTGATAAAGTATCCAATTCGCTCTTAAATCAAATGGTTTTCGATGAACAGAAATAAAGAAAATTTAAAAGAAAATTAGAAAATTAAAAAAGAGAAAGAAGAGAATAAGGAGTATTTACTTGTAAACTTCGTACTTCTCCCGATTTGATGCGTATATCAGCTTCTTTTTGCGCTATTTCAGTTTCTAAAGCCCGTCGTTCTTTAGCAAGCTCTTCAATTTCTTTGGATATCATCTCCAATTCGGGGTTAGTATACGTAGGTTTAGGCTCCTAAATGGAAGCAAACGAAATGATTTATTTTCAAAAGCTTTGTGTTATTTAAATAGTACCTGAGGCTGCAAATCAACACCAGCTACTATAGCACGCATGGACGGTGGCACCATATTGGCTGTCAACACTTGTGGTGGATCTATACCTTTCTGTTTACGCTCCACTAACCACATAGCCAAAGCAAATTGCTCTAAAGTTAATTTACCCGACTGATTGGTGTCACAAAGTGCCCTTCGCAGAAAGTTATAATTAAAATCAATATATTTTTTTTTTTGGCGCTTGTGCATTAATTTATAGCGAAATTGTCATTTAATCATTTAGTAGAGCGTCGGCACCGAGATTTTCTAAAACAGTTTCGCTTTAGGGATTATTTTTGTTTTTTGGCAATAAAAGACAAAAATATTAAAAATATTTAGAATTTCGACACATATCTCGGCATTCATGAAAATACTGCAAACGTATTACCATTTTGCTACTCACTTATGCACAGACGCGATACAACCCCTGATATAAATACTTACCAAATATGCGCCAGCATTTTCTGGGGAACACCTGATTGTAAAAAAATATTCTTTACTTCAAGACCAGAAACTAATCCGTCTTTATCCCGATCTGAATCACGGAACATAATTTCGAAACGTTTCAAGTCAGTTGGAGTAACCACCCAGTCGGCGTTGGCGGTAACCGATGGAGGTGCACCGATAGGTATTAAAGGATCTGTGGAAATCAAAGGAGCAACGGTAGCCGGTCCGCCTACCGGGGGAACACGTGTCATTGGTGGTATTGTTATTGGTAGAGGCATAGCCGGTGGTGGGGCAATATCTTTGGGAAAATTAGCCACAAAGCCACCATCACCAAATCCCTCGGCAGACGGAGCTCTGGGCATTGCAGATACTGTTGGTGGTGCAGGTTTAGGTGGTGGACCGCTGCCCACAGTTTTACGTAGTTCCGGGGGCAACACATCAGGCACCGTACGTTTCTCCAAAGTTTGATATACTAAATGCATGGCCACGATAAATTCGTGTTTATCCAAATTTCCGTCTTTGTCTTGATCGGCCAAGTCCCATATTTTGCCCAAAGTTTCCATTGGTAATTTAGAGTCCATTAATACACCTTTCACTTTGTTTCCAGCCAGCATACCAGCGACCGGCTTTAGCGATTCAAAGAGTTGCTCATATTTCAGACGATCAATAACACTAATAGACCAGTCTCCTGTGCTAGCCACTTGCGCTGTTTGAATGCGTGGTGGAACAATTTTTGGCAAATCACCCTAAGAAGAATAGTTCATATTTATTAATAATTAGTATTTAAATGACGTGACCATGTACCGAATTTTAAAACAAACATAAAAATTGATTATGTAATCATAACTTAATTTGCAAGGTCGCTGAACTTACCACTTTTGGTGGTTTCTCTGTATCCATATAAATATTATTCATATTGTATACATGACCCGCCTGAGCCAAAGAAACCAACTTTAATGCAATAAAAAATCCAGGCTTATCTAAGAATCCCTTGCCATTTGGATCAGATAAATCCCATACACGACTTAAGACCACATCACTAAGACCAGACTTTTTAAGAAATTTTGCCGCAGCCATAGCCTCTATTCCCACACCTTTTTTGGCATTTTATAAGAAAAAAAAAGCAACTTTGAAAATTTCATTAAAAATTGTGTAAAAAAGTCTGTTATAAACAAAAGAAAAAATATGTCAACACAACCAGAAAAGTTTGTTGTACGACCAGAGAATTCGAGATGATGAACTGGCCTCCAGCCACTCAGTCCATATTTATCAACTATATCTGAATCCACATTGTAATAATTTAATTTCTATTTGGAATATTTATCACCTTTAGGGTCCATCTGCAAGTAACAATGTATATAGAATGCAAAATGTTATTTGCGTTACTCATATTCGTGTACATAATATTGTATGGTTGAAAAATCAATGGAATCCCATTCATGAGATGTTTCACATTCCGCAGTTTTATACCTGCTTATAGTAGGCTTCATAAATGGCACTGTGTTTGCCACACAATTTTGCAAAATCCAAATTCATTATTTTTCCTTATCGCACACTCGCCCGCCTCTATTTCGAACCGCAAAAAGGCTAACAATACATTCAATCCCAGTTTTCGTTTTGAAAAGACTTGAGTTTATGCGTTATCACAAAATCGATAAACAGACGTAGGAAAAAAATTTCTGACAGTTAAATCGATTTTCCACCAGCAGATGTATTAAGTGGTGAATTTAAGCAAATATATGTTTTTCAGACGACACCCCTGTTAAATTTTCAATTAAAAATTTAATACCGTGAACTTTTTTTTTAAACAATATTCATATTAGATTTTTAAGAGATCTATATGCAATTTTCTTATTTTTCACATAAATATAGTTAATTTCAAGAAATTTTCACTAATTCACGAATGAAACGAATTCATTCATTAGTAGGACTAAGCGCGATGTAAAAATTGGTAGTAGCTGTTTATTAAAAAAATGACACTGCCAGACTCAATAAATAAGATTTTACAAAATTGTACAAATGCTACAAATGTGAAATGTCTTGCCGGTTTGCATCCAAAATGTCCGAATATTTCTTTTAACCAATTCCGAGAACTTGAGAAACCTTTCAATTTTTACGCAAAGTAGTAACCAGAGAGAAAGAACTCTTTTAATAGGTTTTTTGAGATTATTTTTTTTGGTTATCATTTCTCAGAATAGCTCACATCAAACATCAATGAACAAAGTGTATTTTATGACTGCAAACTTCTTAATTCCTACATTTACTTCTTACAAAAAGAAAGATTTATAATAGTTCTGGAAAATTTTATTAGAAACAGCGATCGCCAATCATGAGAAAGAACTTGAGTTTTTAATATACAAAACTCGTAAAGGGGGATTGATATGAAACTCTATCTGTTTGCAAGATGTCCTAGGCGCAAGGATAGCTAATTTCATGTCACGAGAAGAGTTTGCCACAAGTTAAATTGAAATTAATTGCAATGTCTTCATACGGAAAAAAAAATTAATTTTTGCTTCGACGTTGTCATAAGAAAATGGTTTATTATGATAATCTTCTTCACCTATGTGATCACCTTTTGTTTATAAGTTCTTTTTTATTATGTCTTATCTACATACAGCCAAATTTTACATTTAATATTACTTTTAATAATTTTGAACATTGTAAAACTGATCACTTTTGAAAGACTAATATTAATCTTTGCTACATTTTTTGCTAAATTTGAAAATCGTTTATAATCGATTGTAGCTGTTAATGCTTTCTGATTACTGCCCAGATTTTCCTAGGATTCAATAAGATTTTTTGCGCTAATGACCCATGGATCCGCAGTTGACGAGGCTATTCTCATTTCGCTAGGAATGGACAAAGTATTTATTTCAAAGGCTATACTCTTATTTATGGTTGCATGATTGCTGTTCAGGCTGGTGATGATACTTAGATTGACGAGCACTGCTCTAAGGCCATCTATTTGTGAGTTACAATGGTTTGAGTGGCTGCGCCTTTGTGTGGTAAAAATTCTACGTTTATGCGTTAATTAAATTGCTTTTGAATAGGAAAAGGTCCTGTTCAAAAAATTAATAATTGCTTAAAGAGTGTTATGGTAACATTTCTATGTCAAAAACAGTAATTCGTCACCGATTTGTTGATTTTAAGCGAAGCGTGCGCGCTCCGATAAACACGGTTCGATGGGCAATTGCAACATTTCACTGTCACATTCTCACCTTCTTGTGTTTGTATCTGGTACAATTCCCCATTTAGTATGTAAGGAATATGATAATGTCTAGATTGATCCATATTGCAATTAAAATGTTCGTTCTCGTTCGTTGTATCAGCATTTTCATTAAAATTGCTGAGTGCTGCGGCAGCAGATATTTCTTGATTTATATCGGTAAATACATTCGTTGTTGGGAGGCTCGCATTATCATAATTTTGATTTTCTTGCGAATTTACGGAAGAATTTTCCATGTCTTCCATTTAATTAGAGCACTGTTCTAAGGCGAATACGCTCTCCCTACTTGTTTTACTTTTTCATTTAGCGCCCCCACAAAAATATGGTGAGAAGTTATTCTTCTTCGTGTAATTTACAGTAATGCTTACTAATAATTTGCAAAATGGAAAAGAGCGGTTTCAAAGATATTACCTAAGGATATGAAAATTTTCGAATATTTCACAAATTATAATAGACAATGGCTGACAACTAACATTAATATGACACTATAATTAACTAAATCTCTTGAAAATTGAATGTTAAGAAGGATTTTGCTCGTTGTTGTCATGTCGTGTAGTCATTATTGGTCCAAAGATTGAAATCAGGCCTCGCTAAACGGCACATATTGCAACATTGTTCGCGTATAAACAAAAATTCCGCGACCAATAAGAAAAAAATTGTTTTTCGTTTTTTCTTGAAAGAAAAATTGTGAATAAAAGTTAAGAAATTTTAATTAAGAGATTATTAAAATTAAAAAATTAATAGAAAAACTAAACAAAGACTTGATAAAATGAAATTAGAACCCGCAAATGGGAATCCAGTAATGCCTCCATTAAAGTTAGCATCTGTGTTGTCGAAGGTGGAGCCACAACAGCCACAACAGCAGCAGACAAAAGAAGATAGTGAAATGATGATGCAAGAAGAAGAATATGAAAATTATGCTGATGATGATGAAGACGAGGGTTCTGGACATGATGAGGTTTTGGCCGGGCTATTAAAGGAAGCTAAACAAATTGATAAATTAGATAACACTGAAATCGGGGAAAATGAGGAAGAAATCATGCAAGGTGGTAAAAAGAAAGGAACTCGTAAAAAACGCTCAATCAATTGGGAAGAAGCTGAACGGGTAAATAAAGCGTTAATAATTTTTCTTAAAGATTTTATTAAATATGTATCTCCTTGTATTTGCATATTAGAGCTTATTGGTCGAGGTTATAAAACCGAGGGTGGATTTGGTCGAAAATCGTGCCGTGGACGCTAAAAGTATTAAATCAAAACGTTTAGCCTGGATACAAATTTCTAAACAGTAAATTTCTTTTTATATTATGAAGAATTGGAATTTAGTTCTGTTTATTTTGCTTATAGATTTAATTCCTTGAATTTTCGTCAACGCTCTTTGGAACAAATACAAGTACAATGGCGGAGCATGAAAAATGCTGCTAAAAAAGAATATCAACAAAAGAATCCGAAGTCCTCATGCGCCTTAGAAGGCTTACAGATGTTAGAGTTTATGGAGGAAATGCAAAAGGAACCGGTTGGCTCAACACGCAGTCAAACGCGTAACTTGGGAGTGCAAAACAAAAAAGAGCCAATGGATATAGACGAGGAGGATACCCCTTTGGCTGCTTTGCCTACTACTTCATTGAGTAATAGCAACAGTGAAGATACTTTGCCTTCGTCGACATTAGCTTTACCATCACCGCCCAATTCAGCTGAATCTCAGTTAGCCGAATTTCAGCAACAAGAAGATTCCGCACGACCCAAAAAGAAGAAAGTTGCGCCTAAAACAAAGCCTAATAATTTAACTGCCGCGAAAGCACAAACGCAAGTCAATCACAATGCAACTTTGCCGGATAATACAATTTCTGGAGCCGGTTTTAAAGTAAAACGGCAAAAAAGTCAGAATTCATCAAACAGTGAATCAAATAACACAAACATTTCCTTGAACGCTAACGCAATAAATCCAACATCGTCCAGCAGTTCTGCTGATATCAAACCCTCCGCTACTTTAACTCTTAGTTCTATGACTACCCCGCCTCCCTCTCCACCCGTACCTAACGATGATACGAAATACAAAAAACAATTATTCGATTTAATAAAACGTGTACGTCTTGCCGAAATGGATTGCACACGCAAAGAACATGAACAGAAATTACGTTTTGAACAGCAGGAGCAGGAACTCAAGCTACGCCAAATGTGTGAATTACACGAACAGCGTATGCGTTTTGCCTTAATCGAACATGAGGCCCGAATGCGTGCCTATGCTTTTGCCTCCAACGAAGAGAAGCCGAATGTAACGAAATGAGCCACCACAATACAAGAACAATAATAATAACAGAATATTTAGGAGTATTGAACATATAGTATAAATTTTCCTTTTTTTTTTTTTATTTTTTTTTGAGAACGTGAAGTATTATTAGTGTCCAGACACCATACACATATAATTAGACATGAAAAAAGACGCCAATTATCAGCTACTAAATAGCATGTGGAAGACATAAGCATACCTACATTTACTTATAGGTAAAAAAATATATCCTTCATTTTTTACAGGTTGTAACCTTTCTTTTTTTATGCATTTAATTTGTTTCGAGTTTGTTTTTCCCGGTTTTATCGATGTCATCGTATATAAATCAAATTCTAGTTTAAATTTTCATAAAGTTTTTATCAACGAGTATTAGATAGCTTAAGTTAAATCTATTGTGTTTTCCAATATGATTTTCCTAATTTTTATAAATTTAACTATACTAAATCTCTTTACTCAACATACTGTTACATAATCACAATTTTTATGACATTAATTCCTTTTTTTTTTAACTTATACATAAATTAAACATACATATATATATAGATTGTAAAAAATATAATAATAAAATAATATAAAGTTTAAATAAATATTAAATATATATATGTGACTTTTCACTATTCCTATATTATTATATCAAGGATGTTGTTACATTTTAAAAGATTATGCGCCATAAATTCTATCCTATTCCTGTTAGCTCTCTGTTGCCGCAATACTTTTTGTGAGAGAAAACTCCTTTTTTCTCTCCAGCTTACGGTTATATAAAGGAAATTCTTCTTTGATTTCTTCTGGATTTTCTATCATATATATATGTCACTCAGGATGAAAAGACGTGAATTTCCTAACTGGTTTGAAAAAAATTATACCTCTGGATTTAGAGATAATTGTAAGTCATGATCAAAAATTCCCTTCATCATGATCATGGCGTTGTTGCGAACAATTTTAGCAATAAAATTTTCATATATGGTAAAACTAAGTCGTTGAAACGTCCAATAGTCGATGAGGTTTCGACCATTGGTGCCGCCAAATCTACTAGGTGACTAAAATTTGTTATATAGCGCGAGATTTCCGGCAAAAGTGTAGATATATCTTGTAATGAAAATGAAAAGTGTAGGATATATTAACCTAATTGCTCCAATTCGATTTCTCACTTTAACAGAAGTGGCACTTCGATTTTTCACTTCTACAATGTTGGTCCTTCGATGCATCTCACTTTATTCTCGCTCACATAACAGAATCGAAGCATTGCAATTTATTGAAAGCAACTCTGTTCTCTCTCTACTCTACTCAACACATGCTATTTTTTTTTTTTTATAAACTTTGTAAGGGAAAACACCAGTTAACGGCTTTCAGCAAAAAATCAAAACTATTTCACAAGTGCACAAAGAAGTTGTGTAAAGTGAATATTTGCGAAAAGAAATTGAAAAATATCAAAAGAAAATATAAGAAAAAAAGTTTTACGAAAATTGTATTAAAAATTAGTCTCGTGTGTAATAAATTAAATGCATAATGATTATTTGGAAAATGTTTTTAAAAGCAGACCCATATGAGATTCGTACAATTTTTCCGGAAATCTCTGGATTAAATCGGGTTAGGAAGAATTTCAATTTTTTGATTTAAGAAATTTTGGCGATGTTTTGTTGTACGATTCGAAATATGTTGCATTAAAATATTGATTTGTTAATTTGACCAATAGAAGCCAGTGGGGACTTCGAACAACACTTCTATCCTTTACACAACGGTTTATAGGAATACATTTTTTTCATTGAGTTCGCAGACACTTTTGTTGTTGATTTCACTAAAACGCTTATATGTAAGCTCCTGTTATATTTATACCCTATGTAATTGTTATTCCATCAAGAACGGTCACAAATATGCATTATAAAGATTATAAAATAGATGATGTCTTGTTGTTGGGCATGTCGGTCTGTTTGTGTGCGGTTAGTGAGAAATTGTCTTTAGTTTGGTAAGTAGAATTAAACTTGCATCCGCAGCCCGATAAAACAAAAATATTTTTCTTTTAAGTGTTATCAAGGGACCAAATAAATTTTCTTGCAAATATATTATAATAATATATTTATATTTATACGTTCGCTTTAAGGGATTCTTTAGAGGTTTATGATAGCTCTAAAGTGTTCCTCTTTCTTTCATCAATCTCGGCAAAACACTTTATATGGTGTTAGAAAAAATAAAAAAAAAAATTCTCACTAAGCCCTAAAAACTCGCATCGGGTATAGAAACACCGTGCTATATATAACCATTTAATATATAAATGACATTTTAACCTATGTAAAAAATGTCAACTAATAACAATAAATAAATTTGAATTTGAATAAAAAACCACTTCAGTCTGTTTCATTTATGTTAAAATTTTTTAATTAACTTATTTATAATAACACATGCCAGACGCAGAAGATTTGAACTATAATTATATATATATTAAGAAGTGTGTTCTGGTTTTTTATGCAAAGTATATAATAGTTTTTTCCATTTTCTTTACAGGTTACACTGTTATAATTAATTTATTATATCACATATAATTACATATATTTTCATATATTTTTATAATAATCACATATATATATATATATATATATAAAGTCGTGGAAAAGCTGAGTCTCTCCGACAAAATAGTACAAATGCAGTTAGGCGAAGTATATGCAAACAGAATGACAGTCTACAACCGAGCAGAGGACAGACTTGTTAGATGTGGATACAGCAACAGTAGCGCTACGAAGACCGAGGAGCACCAAACGTCCCCGTCTTCGGAGTGCGAAGCCTGTTGATGGATTTCAACGTAATGCTCAAGGGCGACTCCTACACTAGGCATAAAGTTACCATGGCTGGAAAATTAGAGGAGAATCTCAAACATGGAGAGAAGACTGGTTTGGACGTGAAAGCTGTTGTCTGCATCCAAAGTCCCAGCAACAAAACTGTCTTAAGTAACCTCATAAATGAAGTCTACAACAGAAGGCACATACACTTAATATTCTACACGCACAGCTTAGAAGGTTTCGTGAATAAATTGAAACGTGCAACCAGTCACCAAGCCATGTACGAGCAGTCGATATTTTTAAAGCTGGTGCAAATGAAGGCGCCCGGCTCCAGATTCCGGGCGCGGAGAGGCTGCATGCCGTCATACTCAATACCATAGTTAGTTAGTTACTATAGGCGATCGCCGGCGAAGCCCACCATACGAAAAAAGAGAAGTCGTGTGTTAAATGCAATAGATTAAAGATAATTATAATATTATATAGCTATAGTTATAAATTGCTCATTTACTTTCTTTTATTTTAGATTAGAATAAAAATGAAGTACAAGTCTTCGTTCATCGTCTCATATACATAAAGATTCGCTGTATGTCAAAAGTAAGTTTGCGATTATCTTTACTTATTATCATGCATAATTTATTCATTTCTTTTTATTTCATATTAGATTGAAAAACAAGTATGCGTCTTCATTATCACTTCAGCGGAATGGGGTACTTCTACAAGCCAAATGGTAAGTTTGTGGTCATCTTGTGTAAAATACAGTAGCCACAATATTTTTCTTTTTCAGATATCAGCACACCAGCATTAATCATGATGTATTTATATGTATTTTTTATGTATTTATGTATTATTTATGTATACTATGTATAAAGGGGGCTGATATTTATTTATTTAATATTATTGATTATTATAATAGTTCTATGTTAATTTTATAACGGTGTAGGCTTAAAGGGGAGCGAGCAATTCAAAATAATTTGCAACGTGTCTATCACGGTACGTCAAGGGTGGCGTGGAAAACCGTGAGAAGACTTTCAACGAAGATGAATGTTTACATATTCATACATCACACAACATATCAGCTTTCATATTCAGATGTCTGAATCTGAAAAAAGAAGCACAATTTGTTTCACCAAAGAACCCAAGAAGGTCATACATTTTTCTATTAAAGGAAGAAGAGTTAAACGATGCTAATCATCCCAACCTTTTAGTTCAATCGTCAATGATAGTTGAATCTTCCAAGGCGAATATGAAATAGGGTTTGTCAATTTGGATGTTACACTATCAAGCAGAGTTGCTTCAAAAAAACCCGTTGACAAGCCTACGTTGACTTCACTACGCTTGCACCTTCGATACCTATCCATATTCTTCATATTCTGATGAGCTATCTTTATCCAACAGAACATTGCTTCTTACTTTCGACGTATTCTAGCAAGTCATATTAAACAGAAAAGAATTTTCGAAAAAGGTTGTGACGAAAACCAGGAGAACGCTGAAGATTATTGCAAAGTGTGCACTTATCTAAAACTCATTTATCGTCCGTATCGACAGATATAGGTTGATTAGTGCTTTTGGTTTTCAATAAATAAAAGTTTTTTCAATATAATTCCAAATAGTGCGGATACATACCTAATGGATGTCGTTTTGTGGGCGATATATATCACACGATACTAGGTCTTTTTATTACAAAGAAATTAGGATACATTTACGATTTATCTAGGATAGTTGGTTTTTTGGACACGTCTTTGGGTAGTAAAAAACCTATATTTATCAGCAAATATAATCAAAGTTATTTCGATGCAACTCAGTTAGGGAGAATACATACCCACGACTTAGAAACTTTTTCCGGGTTGAAGCTTGACGTGGGGAGAAGTATGCTTCTATTGATGGATAAAATAAAGGTTTTTTCGAAACAAAACAAAACAAAGAGTGCGAATACATACCTGGTGGTGTAGTTGATCCCATGACCTTAGATTCAGGCGGTACCAACTCTATTTTCGTTGGAAGATTTGACATAACTTTTTTCTTTAATAGAAAACAACTAATGCGAATTCTTACCGTCTAAAATGTGTTCCGGCTTCTCATCTTGAGGCAGTACGAGATCTACATTGATTGATATAAGTTTTTTTTTTCAAGATAACGCAGTTAAAGCAAATACATACATAGTAAGTCTGGCTCAATGGTCACAACTTTAGGCACGATAAGATCTGTATTGATGGATATAAAGATGTTTAATACAACGCATTATAACGGTCATAATTAATTAATACGTATTGTATTATATATATACAATAAATATAATATAACAATATTTATGAATAAATATGTACGTAAATATGAAACCGGAATTTACTCTTAGATGTCTAAAGGACACACAGGCTTGAAGGCTTCAAGAAAGGCAACGAAAGATCATTTTCTAACATGAAATCCGTGCGTCTATCGGGATTGTAAATAGCAAAACAGGTTCGAGAGATCCTCGAAACAATCAGTTGGAACAGGGATTTAGTCTTTTTCTGTTTTACTACACTTTGTTTATGTTTACTGGACCTTTAAGTATTTGGTGCCATTTTGCTTGTTCACCACACTCGAGTCCTTCCGATTACTGTTCGTTTGCGTCGATGCGATAAGCACTTGCAGAGCAGGGCGTCGCTTCTTGCGAAGGTGTACGACATGGCGACGAACATGGCTCGATGGTTCGATGCGCTTTAAAAGAAAAACAGTGCAGCATGGTGCGATGGGCAATAGTTGGTAAAAAATATATTTTTTATAATTTCCACGTAATAAACGCGTATTTTCTATACAAAAATTCCGGTTTCATATTTACACACTTGGGTAAATAAAATATTCTCGTTAAGCACATGAATATAAAAGCACATGTATACATATATATTAGAAAATGTAAGTTGTTTTCAAGTAACAATATTAGCAGAAAAACATACCTTTTATATGTGATGGATGATGCCAGACATAATAACCTACACTACCATGAGGCCCGTACAGAACGCATGCATCTATATATATATGTATATATATTTTTTTTTTGGCAGACGAAATATATGAATTTTTAAATATCATGCAAGAAGACTGAATACTACACGCATACCCTTGGGATGTGGTCCACGGTTCGACTCATAAAATCCATACTTTTCGCCTTTATCGTCACCGTTACGTTTAAAAGAAATTTGCGCGCAGTGACCGACAGCAGTATAACCCAGTTTATCATCAGTGTAGTACGTATGATTGTCTATTTTTTTTTTTTTGTTTTTGCAAAATCAGTAAAATTTGTTTTTGCAATATACCAAAATTGATATAAATACCTTTTATGGATCCATGATGCCAAATGTAATACCCGCCACCGTTACGTACGGATTTAACGCACGGATCTATATGTTTTTTTTGGCATAAATAGTACAAGTCTTTGAAATATAAGCCAATTAACGTCTATGTACGTACCTTTCGGAGGTGTTCCACTATGCCACTTGTAATGTCCCAGATTACCATCATATCCAGGCTCAAAATCTGTACAATATTCTATATTTATTTTTTTTTTGTCAGATAAATCAAAATTTTTCTATACAAAGTTAATTAATGAAAGCACTTACCGTCCACATCCCAACGTCTTCTATATGGTGTATCTAAATTTTTCGACAGAGATAATTTGTTTGCTTTTTTTTTTGAAAGGTAACATTATATGTAAAGTGAGTAAAAGCACTATAGTGGGTCATGATTCATCGCTTAAATACCCTACACCTCCCTAGACTTATTTATATGACATTTTTTTTTCAATATAAGGTGTGGGAAGTAGTGCCAAATGTGACCCCGATCCAAACTATTTTCAATAGTTTTGGCCCTTGAGCCAAAATACGTTAGTGTTTACATTGGATTTTTGTCAAAGTATGTCGAAAATTGCGAGCTGTACGTAAAACACAACAAAAAACCAGGTGGACCGGCCGACGGACAGATAGACAAGCTTAGATCCATACAGAAAATGATTCTAAATCGATCGGTATAATAGAAAATGGATCTGTCTCAGTGTGTGTTCTTGACATACGTTTGTTGCATACGTACACACAAACTAGCAATAACCTTATACTACAAGTGATGTTGCGTATGGACCCGTTTATACAGTGCCAGATACAATGAAAGTTGTTTTTATGTTCTACAATTAATGGAACCACATTACCTCCCAAAAATGATGCATGATTCCAATAAAATAAGCCTCGAGGTGCCATAAAAACGCATTTTTCTATGTAATTTAATAGATGTCATACAAGTTTTTCTTTTGTTTATATTAATTCAACATACTTTTGTAAAAGAATAGAGATGAAAGATAAAAGCCGTCCTCATTTTCAAATCGATTTTGCATACAGGATTGGACTATAATTGATAGATATATAGTATGAAGTTTTGCAATACGATAATCCAATAATTACGAATGTTACTTACGATATTCGAATTTTCGACTGTGATTATCTGCATTTTTTCGTAAAAATAATATTTGTTTTTTTTTCCTTTTTTCAATATAACTGATTTAACGAATACATACTTTTTAGATATCCGTGACGCCAGATAAAATATCCAGTGTTATTATATCCAGGTTTCACGCAGGGATTTATATGCCCATCGTCAGTTTTTGGTGGTGTTCCCCTCTCCCACGTGTAATGCCCTAAAGTGCCATTATATCCAGGCTTATCTGGTGAGCAATCTGTATTTATTAACATAAAAATTGTTTTTCACAATATTAGAACTAATAGATACACGTTGCCCATTATACTTATAACATATCAATCACTCAATAAGTCTTCGGTCTAATTTAGCTTCTTTTTCTTTGTTTGCATTGAAACGCTCCTATGCATGCTATGTAATTTTCACTACTGTCCCTTTTCAATATATTAAATGAATTTTATATCAAGCTCATTCACAAAAATATAGACGCCATAAACTCCTTTTTTTGATCGCTTACTTTCCACTCGACTATAGGGATGATTTTATCTTTCATTCATTGTTACATACCACATAAAAACCCTTGACCGGTCGAAGGTGGCAAACGCGGCGACCACTTCGAAAAGATCTTTCTCGTGAATAAATATTCATCAAAATTGATGGGTGGGACTGCCTTTTGATATCCCAAAGGTGTCAGCCATCGCACGTAACTTCACTTTTTGGTCTTGCAAAAAGATTTTGTGCCCTTCTTTTATATTGTCTCGAATAAGCGCCGAATTATGGTGGCCAGAGCGCCCGTCATCACCGGCACCCATATGACTTTCGACAGAGAAAAGTCACCACAACAACTTTCAAGGCAATGCCGCTTCTTAACAATAGTTCTTCTCATTAAACAAAAAGCAGAGTTTTGCGTTATTTCGTCACTAAAACCAATGCAACAATCGCGGCGACATGAAATTTTGACGCATATTGTTTGAAGATTGGTACTATCCAGCTATCATATAAGTCGATCAATAGCGTTGTCAAATATATGTCAGACCGGAGACTTATTGAGTGATGTGTTATATAACATTTCACAATATGATTGAAGGAAAAAGTTCGCTGCGTTTTTTCTCATTTTTCTTAGATTTTAAATAAAATTGGGCAAGCAACTTCTTCTTCTTTTGGTAGCACAAAGCGAGTGAAACAAATGGTTGTTGGACAGAACGAGATCCATGCTGTGCAATGGAGGCGTGAAAACTTTCAAGCTAAACTTTCCTATTTTTTGCGCGCTGCAGTTTCATAAGTTATCCACGATAGAGAGTTATTGACTGTAGAGAGCGCAACTAACAAAAGAGAGCTCGACGCGCGCTTTAACATCGAAATTTCCACACAGAAGCAAACAATTCCATGCTGTGTGACTATCTCATAAACTTTTGATTGAATCCACGAATATCTGCATGCTCAAACGTACACTATTGTATTGCTTAACCGGGTTAGTACTACGAAAGTTGTTCGATATACGAGCTGTTCGATAGTGGAGAAAATGCCACGAACTTTTTTCTTCAATTAATATATAGTATACGCAGATACATGCGCATATAAGTTACTTCAATGCAATTAAGTTAGCGGAAGTGCGTACCATCTAATTCAATACAATTACTTGTTGATGGGAACAATAATAAAATCACTGCACTCACTACGATAACTTGATAGTAAAAACTTTGCATTTTTTCTTTCTAAAACTTGTAAAGAATTTTTAAAAAATAATTAACACAAAAAGATGTTGAACTAACTTCTGTTTATATATGCGCGGGAGAATCATTTCAGCCGTTTAATGTAACAAATCTTTTAGTTGTGCTTGAATTGGAAAGAAAAAGAAAAGCTCAATTCAATTCAAGCGATCAAAAATGAATTTGTTGCAGATATTTTTGTTCTGTCTGCTTTTTGGCAAATCTATTAACGATTGAAAAATACCGGGACATGAACAAACATATACGCTTACTCTCAGATGGCTGGCATTTTTATACAAATTATTGAGAACATATACGTAAACAAATGTGTGGGCGCTTATTCTCACATGTTTGGAATTTTTACAAATTACTGAGAATACATATGTACGCTACTTTATCTAAAGCGCGTTAGATAATACGCTTATATTCCCTAAAGCGCGATTAGATTATACAAATACATGTTCAATTATTGAAAAATGGGTGCCGTACGACTATATCTGCAATTGATTATTTTACTTTACTATTATACTTTATATACATCATCCCACACGTAAGACTTATTTGGTTCAAAATTTACAATGGTTTGCCAATTGTGGACTGGATTATAAAGGGACTACGAACGTTTTCAAACTTGAACTGCGATCATGAATTTATGACATGGTCCTAAATGCATTGTGCATGTACAAGCAAGTCTTTCGAGAAAAAAAGAATAGGAAGTCTACGCTTTCATATGTTTTAACGGGTTTTAATGCGTTTGCAGCGATCGCTGAGGTGTCTCTCCTTCTACGAGTTGCAAACAAATAACAAAATAGATGTGTTACCATACTTTAGTGGCAAATGTTATAAAATTTGAAAAATTACTTTAAAATTTCAAGTAAATTGCTTCTATTTCTTCTCCTATCTCCTAAACACCGCCGGAGAATTTA